TTTTTTAATCTAAAGTCACCAAATGGCATTCCGCGGGGGTTGCACATGTTTTATATTAACAAACTAGCGAAACCATTTTACGGAATGATAAAAGTACGAAATCAGTTTTTGACGATGGGTAAAATGACAAAGTCTCGCTAGCGTGAGATCGAAGCCATAGGCCTCGCTCGTCTCGGCAACGCCATCTACCCCCCGGTCTCTTCGCCTCTGCATCCAAACTCCGACTTGACTCGCCGCACGGCCGAATCAGCTATTGTATGAGGAAATGACGCAGAATCGGCGCTGCAGTTTGAGCTTGTTGCTCTCGCACGCTCGCATTGCTTGCATCGATGCGTGATGCCTCGTACTACTCAGCCAAGCAGCGCGACGCCCGTGACCTGGCTGCTCCGTCACTCAGTGGAACGGTGGCAGATACCCAAACAAACATTTTACGGAGGAAAGAAATTACAGTTGCATTCTAGTGCACAAGAAAATACACCCGGAAGCTAGTTACTGGTGAATAAAATTACAGAGCTCCCAAACAGTGCCTTAATTTGATGAGAGTTCTATATTTCTGTGTTTTTAGGTACAGATAATAAAAGTTTGATTGGTTGCAAGCCAATTTTTATCATGTCAATTTTAGGACAAGTCAAAATGTAGTCACACCAATATTAGGGCAACCAATATTTTGATAAGACAATCAAAGTTGACACTTGGTTTGCTACCAACAAGAGAGAAAGATCTAGTCTTGCCGACTTTTTGGAAGGTATTGCCAAAATTTTGGCACCAAACCAATTGCTTGCCAAATTTCTTAAACTTGCCCATATTTTGGCATAGCAAAAATTGGTTTGAACCAATCAGGCTCTTAATCTATACCTACCTAATAATAAAGAGGTAAAATTTCAGCCTATTTTTTTATACCTATTTTTTTATGTCTCTTCTAACTAATTTCATGAATATGGAAACCACATATTGCCCTTCTCTTTATTATATAACATTGCATTACTACTTAAGGTAGTCTAACATATAGGAATCCTAATCCAATTAGATATCTCTGTTCCTAAGTAATTTGAATAAGAATCCTAATCCAAATAGAAAAATATAAGAATAGAAATCTCCTGCTCGACTACACTCTTTTTCCCGTTTCGGTTGACCACACTATCCATATGTCCGTGTCCTTTTCGAATTTCCTGTTGCCCATACTATTTTCTTTTCTTTTTGAAGAGCTGTACGTCCAAAGCATGCATATATAAATATATATATGTGCCCATAAGGTTTCCGATCCCTTTTTAATCCTATTTTAATAAATATATGGCGAGGAGTTTCTTTGTTTTATCCATTTTTTTAAGTTTTCCTTTTTTGAATTTCCAATATGTTGCCCAACTAGGGATGAAAGCTATTTTCTTTTCTTTTTTCTCGAAAAACGAGCTGTACCGTCCAAATTTCCGACCGAATTAGCATCCCATATATCCGGGAAAAATATAAATTCCCGGCCCCCAGAAGGTTTCCGATCCCTTTTTAATCCTATTTTAATAAATATATGGCGAGGAGTTTCTTTGTTTTATCCATTTTTTGGAGGCATGTTTTTTGTTCATTTTTTTTTCCATTTTCTTTTTGGTAGTCCGATCTAAAGGGTGTTCAATATATGGAGTCAATTGCTATGTTGCATCGAGCTCAGCTCATTTACATATAAGCTAACCAATTCCGTTCCCGAAAAAAAACAGGAGCAGGAATGGTTAAGACATTTTCCGAAGTTCCGACCGTATCCCTATGTAGCTCATTGAAGCTAACCAATAAAAAAAAAGAGGGAAGTAAAGAAAAGGGAAGAAAGAAATCTGACAAATAAAATGAAAAGTATAACACTATATAAATCTCTACCTCAATGGATGTCTCAAAACAAAAAAAAAACAAAAAAAATCACATAAACAAGATTGAAGAATGGCTAGTTCAAGATGAAGTAACTATACCATACATGTATGCGAACCTATCTACGTTCAGCCTGACTCTAATGCGCAACCAGGCCCATACATGTACGCGAACTAATCAGGCCCTAGATGAACTAAGCCATACGATCTTGCCATTGGCTTTTGCACAGCGAGAATGTCGATGTGGTGGAGGAACATGCTAAATGGATGGATGAAAATTCCAACTCTCCGTCTACTATGGATTCACACGTTTTGGCCATGGATTTGACCCTTGCGCTGTTCGTACACGCGTCCCCCAACGACCTCGGGCGGAGTCACGGTAGAACACCCCATGAGGAGAGATCAAAATCAACGAGTGGATGACATTGGCATGGAGACATGCTTGGCGGTGGAGCGCGCTTGGAGGCTGCCTCTACCATGACACATCAGTAACTAAACTCTTATTAGTTTTAATAAGATAAGATGAATCATAAATTTTATCGGTCCTCAAAATAAAAGTCACAAAACTCGGTATTTAACAATACTAGCACACGGATAGTATTGAAATTAAGGTTACAATATATTTACAAGTAAATATTTTTGTAATAAGATGATCTATAGATTTTTATGAGTTAAGTAAAAAAAACTCGATATTTAACTATGTCAACACTTGGATAGTATGGAAATTAGGGTTATAATATATTTTGAGTAAATATTAGTTTTGCTATCATTTTCTCTCTCCCATACTTTTATGAATTAGAGTACTGTGTTAAGACGCGGTGGGGTGTTCGATTCAAGACAGATTGAAATGTGTGACCTGATCATTGGATAAAACTTCAAACGTCCTTTACCTATATGAATTCGAGTAGAACGTGTCCGGACATGTTATAGAGTATGAATGAGAACACATGACGCGATTGTTGAACAAATCTTCTGAACTTCATGTCGTCCAAGTGACTAGGCTATAAACTATACGTCCCGTAGCAACGCACGAGCATTTTTGCTAGTAAATTTTATAAAAGATGAATGAATTATTTATATATATATATATAAAATAGAAAATTTCTTTCCACGCGACGAGTCACGACACCGGATCCTGTCAAGATGGTCTAGCACGGCAACGCCCAGGTTGGCTACATGCAGGCCGAGGCCCATGTACGCACCGCCACGCCCATTGACCCATGGGCCATGACAGACAAGCAGCCCCGTCTCCCACTGTACCCCCAAGCCCTGCAAACCCACAATTCGCCATCACACAGTTAACGCATCACACAGACCGACGCCTCCCGTGCGTGAGAGACGTGCACCCACCGTACTTAAGGTTTCCCCTTCCATCTCCTGCGACTGCGAGTAGGTTGTTTTTTTTTTCTCTCTTCCGAGATCCGAGTTCCGAGACAGCTCAAAAGCACCACACGCCTTGAACCCAGGGAACAGCGTCAGGTTGGCCGGTTTGGTGCCTAGCGCCCAATTAGGTGAACAGTCCAGATCACAAATCTCTGTATCATCATAATTCATACCATCAGTGTGAAACAGATCATTCGGTCGGAGGACATGACGCTTATAATGTCTTGAAACATGGAGTGTGTAGCCACGATTTTGGACTAGTAGCTAGCGAGCCATTGTCGAAAGGTAAAAGCTAGCGTGGCCGTCAACCACACATGCCGAGACCACAGACCAGTGCGGTGCAGACCACCAATTCTGCACGAGGACGCCATTGAACTCAACGTTAAGAAACAGTTCATTATTATAGGAGAGCAGGCAGCAGGGTTACCTCTAATCTTTTTTCTTTCTGCATAATACTAATAGCCGGAGACTGTTCGTCAGAAGATGTTACGGATCAATCGACGAGTCGTCTGTGGTCCAACAGAGACGTAATAAGGGTTGGCTGGCCCAACGCAGCGGAAGGTGCCGGAGAAAGAGACGGCCACCACCACCAGTCCATATACGCAGAGACGTGACGCCGCCGCTGACATATCGTCGACCGGTCGACGGCACGAGACGAGCGTCGGGCGCCGGCCGGCCGTGTGAACGCAGGACTGAATTGGGATATAAATTCACGTTCACATTCACGTCGACGTGGATGGCGCGGTGCGGACGGATGGCCGTCCCTCTCGTCCTCCGCAGCGCAATCATGTCGCTCACCAACTTGTTAACACACTGATGAATTATCGTCACTCATCTGCAGTAGTATTACGCTGCAGATGCCACAAACAGCCTGCCGGTGTGCGCGTGCCTCTACCTGCGTCGTCTCTATCATGCATTCATGCGCCACGATGCGCTGCCCCGATGATTCTTCTTCTCGTCATTGAAGAATGCCCCCGTCTGCCATGGATATCCTCTTCCTCCACCAAGAGCGCGTGTGTTCATCGCACGAATGGACACATGTGTCGGTCCTGATTAAAAATCTCAAACACCGAATTCGAACTATTCTATTTCATGCTAAATTCATGTGGAAATTCTGTCGGATTTTCTGTGAGTGTGGTGTGATTCGGCGCTTCCGGATCAGGTCGGATGATGATGATGATCCTGATTCCTGAAGCTCAGCCGCCCAGGCCGACCATGGCATCTGCGCCAATCATGGGCACCCCCAACAAACGGACCAAATCATCGGTCCACCCCACCACAGTTCCCAACAAAACCGCCTCGCGGTCACGGTGCCGACGACCCAAGCTTCACATGGGCACGCGGTGCGCCCATATGCCTGCCCGAATCACACCAATTTTTTATGCACGCACCGCACAGCCCCCCTCTGCACCCACATGCGAACCATCAAAGATCGGAGTAGCTCGATCAAAGGCTACCCGAAGGACCAACACCAGAACAGGAGGGAAAGTTGCACCAAGCTAAGAACAAGAACAATAGCCCCCAGATCTCAATAGCTGCTGCATGCATATACCAGTAAGATCTAAACCGTCGCCCGTCGCTCAAACCTCAAAGCATGGATCTGGATCAAGAAACCAACCGACCCAAAAAGAGGAACTACTAACCTGACTAAAATGGTGTATATCGAGTAGCAAGCTCATATGACCCTATCGGTAGTATAAACATGTGCACTCTCACAACCATGGCCCAAACTTTTTACAGTGGATGGAAAAACAGATTCGTGTTGCTATGCCGTCACTTCTTCCTGGGCTTGGACCGGCGGCGTGCCTTGCCGGCGCCGCCAGAGCCCCCGCCGAAGATGGCGCAGAGGATGCAGCCGGACACCCTCGGCGAGGGCGGGTCCATGTCCGGGGTCACGTCCTTGGTCCGGAACACCTGCTGGTCCTCCTTGTGCCCCTGCTTCTGCTTCTTCTCCTTCGCCTTCGCCTTCGCCTTCTTGCTGTCGCTGTCCCCACCGCCACCGGCACCGCCACGGCGCAGCATGCCGATGCTCCCGACGCTCTTGGAGTGCCGGAGCTCCGGCTGGGGATCCTCTGCGGCGCCATCGCCGGCCTTCGCCTCGGCGTCAGCCTCAGTCAAGAAACGCTCGTCCCAGACCAGGCCTGAGGAGCCGGACCTTCTGAAGGTCGTCGCCGATCTTTGCAACCCAGCCATGGGTGCCTATCCACCTCCCCTCTCTGCGAGAAGGAGGACCAGCTTATCTGCAAGTGTGGAGAACAAAGGGTGAGGACGAACTGGACGGTGTGCTGCTGCTGAGTATTGCCTCCTTGCCCGCTTCTGCAGGCCCCCTCTGTGTTATATATGTAAAACGGACAGAGACTGCCATTAGTGTGCAGACAGCAGAGCAGTCAACAACCCGGTGCCATGGAAAGGTGCCTGGGCCTGTTTTCCAGTAACTAACTGGGTTCTGCAGAGGTTATATTTAATCTGCATGTAGAACAGTATACAAGAACTCATCAGATTAGAATATTAGACACATGCTTTTTCTATTTTTGCAGCACATGCCACAGGTTTTACTTCACACCGTGAGCATGTGGAGGAAGAGAAGACAAGTGCATAAAAGCAGTTAGATGCACATCACCAAACGCACTACAAGTGGTGAACAATTGCCTGAGAGCTACCAGAAAATATGCACGCATCAGCTACCAGAAAATAAATATGCATGCATTCTTCAACAGTTTTACATTCCACTGTAAAGTTTGACGATGATACGATGATAGTTGATAGAACATGAATCTCATTAAGATTTAAGGTGTATGATATGCGTTGGCACGAAAACTTTACACGTATCTAACAAAGATTGGTTACAAACCTCTGATGTCGACCATCTCTACCCAAATTAGGTTAATGATGGACAAGTACAAGTGAAGAAAAAGTCCAGACTCCAGAGGGCCCAGGGGAAGAAACAAAGGCAAATGGCAATTGTACTCAGCTCTTGGTACCAGACTATCAGTTGACAGCCAAACAACTTAATACAGGTCAGAGGAAAACAAAGACTACGGTAGTTCATAAAGATTTGACAAATAAAGTACCAATTATTATCGTCTTGTTCTTTTCTTGCATAGCGATCCTCTTGCGTCCCTGCTAGACTCAGTATACCCTAATCACAAGAGCCTCACAAGTGTTTCTATTGCTTCATACCTCACTACAAAGCAGTAGTACATGTTCCCATATGCTACCAACACTTCTACAGCATGTACACTGCTAAATAGTAAAGACTTCATAACGATAACAAAAGATCCACAATAGAGAGAGAACAGGTATGGTCCTAAATAAGTGTCAAGAGATCTCTCTGGATGCACCTACCACCTGATCAATGAAAATTATTGCCTACCATCTGACCCTGTTAATGCCATGACCAGTCCTTAGTGCAGACACATCGACCCGAAACTCCTTTATTGAAAACACCAAGATATTTCTATCAAAGTTAGGTGCTGCGCGGTAGCAGAGGCAGAAGTACAGACTATAACTGACCTACCCAAAACCCAAGATTCAAGCAATTATATGAGCATCGAATCACAGCTCTGAAAACAGGTTTAGTTGACCATATACAAACAAAAGGGTGGCGAACTGCCAGCACAGTCACTTATATAATTAGCTAGTTGGACCACATAGTTGGCTGGTTAGGCCATAACACTACTTCATGCTTCTTATGCATGGTATCAGTTACGCTGCCACTGCCTCTTCCTAACAACTGATATTGATTGTCACACAGCTTCACTTTTGGTTCACCTAAAGACTAATACTTGGGATATCTTGCATCCCTTGCATAAAAATAATAAACAAAATACCAGGCACATGTCCTACAGAAACAGGCTACGACAAAGATCATGTGAAATGCCTAGCTCCCCAGCAGAGAGTTGATCCAAGCCAAGACTGTGCAAGAATCGATGAGCATTTATCATTCAACAATTCAAGATCTGGTCAAAAGACCTCAAAGTAACTTTTATTGAAGTCAATAGTCAAAATAGTGGTCCTGAGTGAAGCCAATTGAAATGCAAGTGACAGTTAGGAGTTGTACCTGTCACATTGGCTGATCTGATAGTATTACAACAACAAAGCCTTTTAGTCCCAAACAAGTTGGGGTAGGCTGATCTGATAGTATTGCTACAATCTAAAAGATACTCCATGTTGAGCTTGCAAAACTTGTCATACTTGAAAAGCTCAAATTTACATGTTTGTAAGGATTCCAAGTGAACACTATAACAAAGGCTTATCTGAAGAAGTTATGAACTAGCACCAATCTCAGATAGGGATCTCTTGAATGCAACACGATGGTCAGGGACCCCATCTTGTTCCCTTCTATCCTCAAACCACTTAACAATGGTCTTTCGTGGAAGGTTTGTCACTTGAACTATGCTGCTGATCATTGTATTCTGCATGAAATGCAATAAAGCAAGTGAATGATAAGCTATTGAGCAGTCTGGACGATCTTGATGGAAATTTTAGTTACCGTGGGCCGTTTGCTTCGCAGGTAGACTCTTTCTAAGGTCTCAAGTTGCACCTTTTTCAGTCTTTTTCGTGCAGACCATTCTGCACTCATGACATGCACTGGAAGCTCCAACTGTGGTTTGATTTCAGTGGTATCAACCTCGTCAACAGTGGTCGAACTAGGGGGTTCTATTTCCTTCACTTCAGATTTAGAAGGGGCTTCATCAGGCAAAGAATCAGACATGAGTAGAAGCTTCGGTGGTGGATTGCGGAGCATTTCAATGACCAAACCCCTATCTAAACCTAGCTCCCCTGCAAGATTCTTTATCTGCAATACAAAAGAGCACATGGATGAGAAATGCACAGCGTTCAATAGTTTATTTTCAAGCTTTGCCTATTCCAAAACAGTGCCCAACCATAATGTATATCATACTGATTTCCAACATGGAAAGCAAAAAGAGGAAACTCAAGTGCATATACTACAGCTGCTTACACTAGTTTTACGCCGACCTATTTTCAGTGCACGAGCCAATCTCCTGAGTTGCCAGGTTTTCAGCTCTGGTTGTTCGCTTCCATCTATTTGCTCATCAATACCATAGTCCCCAGAGCTCAGCAACGAATCCCCTGCTGATTCATCAACGCCACTGACATCTTCAATTGCTTCTGCCAACTCCTTTTCAAACCTTGCCATATCTTCTTCTGATATACCATCATCACCGTCATCCACAAATAAATCATCATTCTCAAGATCTTCTTCCAGCTGCTTGAAAAGTGCTTCCAGTGCACCATCCTCGTCGTCGTCGTCATCCATGACATCTTCTGCAGCCACCACATCCTCCTCACTCTGAATTTTAGTCTGTAACAAGGAGAAAGTTTTCAACAAGCCTTCCAGTTAGAATTCACAGCGATACATAAAGGAACATGAAGAAACAGAAAATTCAACCTAGCTGTAGATAGTATGTTAAGGTAATTTTTGGAATGGAACCGTTACGCTCCCCCGCTCCTGCTCCGCCCCCGCCCCCGCACGCCGCTCCCCAGCCCAGATCCACCGCCGCCGGCCGCGGCCCCCAGTCGTTGTGCGCTACAGCGCGTTCCCCACCCCGCGGACGTCCTCCCCATCCCACCCGCCCAGCTAGCAGTGCCCCACAGCCACAGATCGAGCCCGTCTCCCGCCGCCTGACGCCCCGTGCGTCGCTTCCCCGTCGCCCTGTCCCCAAATCGGTCGCCGTGGGGCCGGAAATCCGGCTCGGCGCGCCCGCTGCTGCTTCCGGTGTGTCGGACAAGACAGGAAGCACGTCTGGTAAGCGCGTGAAGTTCGCCTCCCCCCCTCTGCAACCATTCTGTGAGGTGTTACTACTCCAACGGTTATTCGTTGACGAAATCTTGCCTCAGATCCGCAGCAGTGAAGCATGCCTCTGGTGCTCCATCCGTTGAGTATTCAACTCACCCCCTCCGGGCTGCAGCGCCCTGCATTGATGGTGGTTTTCCTTCCCGAGGGGGTGGCTCAGGGCAGTCACCGGGCTGAGCCAGTAGGCCGATGGGCGCATTCACGCGCGCACCTCGAGTCAGAAGATGAAGATGGTTGGTCCATGGTGCGCCCGAGGCGCTGGTGGCGTCTCCCTGAGTTCAAAGGCACGATGCATTCAACTCCCTCAACTACCGAGGTCAAATCGGCGCATTACCACCACAGCGAGGAGCTCCAGAGGCGCATGAGGGGTAAATGCTTCAGATGTCTCTCCCCTGGCCACGCCGCGGCGGACTGCAGAGACCCGGTGCGGTGCTTCTCTTGTGGCCGCTGGGGGCATAAAAGCAGAGTGTGCAAAAGCAGAGCTTCATCCTCCCGGCAACAAGCTTCCCTACCCAAGGCTGCTCCTCCACCATTCGACGACAGCAACTTCCCCCCACTGGGAAGGACCGCGATGGCTAGGCCCGGGGACCCCTCTGTCCGCCCTCTGGACACCTGTGCTGTGGCCTTCTCCGTTGATGACATGGACCACGAGCTCGACCGCCTCTCCATGCATGGCATGGTGGCCTGGCTAGGGGGGAACCGTCCGGTGGTGGAGCCAGAGGTCATCAAGAGGGCCATCTGCCACCATTTTTTGGTTCGTCCGGAGGATGTAACCGTCGTCAAGCACTTCCCCAAGGACTTCTTCATCGACTTCAAGCACCGTCACCATCGTGACGAGGCTGTGGCCCAGGGGACCTTCCCCTATCGCAATCTCGACATCCACACAAGGCCGTGGCAGCTGGTCACGCACGGCAACATCTGCGACCTCAAGTACCGCGTTCGTCTGTGCCTGGAGGGCATCCCACTTCACGCCTGGAACGAGAGCATCGCCAAGAGGGCAGTAGCCAGAGCTTGCAACCTTGACTACGTTGAGAAATCTTCGCTGGATCAAGAGGACACCAGGGCACTCTGTGTCTGGGCATGGACGCACAACCCGTCCGACATTCCAAAGGTAACCTGGCTAACCTTGTCATGCAGGAAAGCAGAGTTTCATAGTTCACAACCTGCTCGCGGCCGTCAGGGACTCACCTTCAGGGTGCTAGTGCACCTTGACCTGGTGGAGGGCCCACCGGGAAGAGATGGACGGGCTGCTGCTCCCCGTGAATACACGTGGCACTACGGTGTCGTTGATGGGGAGAGGACGCCGCGTGACCGCCACGACCCTCCGCTTGCTGACGTCCGCGGCAGCCGTCGCGATGACGATGACAACCGTCGTGGCCGCCGTGAACGTCAGGGCGACAACTGGTACTCGCGCCTCACCCGTAGCCTTTCGCGTGCGCCCAAGGGCCGGGAGCGGGAGCGTTCGGAGTCGAGGCACGGGGGCCGTCGACACCGGAGCCCCGACCACGGAGGTCGTCGACGCCCTCTAGACAACGTCGCTGCTGGTCATGGCGCCCGCCTCTCTGCCCCAAGCAACAATGCAGGCGACAACAGGAGGACTCGACATCAGCTCGCCAAGCCCATTGACCCCGGCCGCCCGGTGGATGTCCATCGCCGAACCCGGGGTCGGAGCAGGGAGCGGACGTCCCACTGCAGGCCCCACAGGCACGCGCGATCGGAGCCGAGGCCCACAACGGCGCGCTCAAAGTCCCCATCGCCACGCCTGCGCTGCAAGTCGCCTGACTTCAGTGCTGGCAACGACGACAACCATCACCCATCGCCAAGTCCTCCCAAGGTGCGTGCTAATTAGAGTCAATTGGATGATCAGGCAAGGATGTCACCAACCACAACCTCTCCAACCTGGAAGCCGGACGCCCAACCTGACGGCGCGACCATCAACAGACTCTTCGTCGGAGCGCCGACGGCCACGCACCTTTCTCATGCTCGTCTGAATTGCGTGTTCTCCCGACAATGACCCCTCGCATCACGACACAACAACAGCTCACACCTTGCTGCGCAGAACGATGCTTCCGCACGGGGCGGTTCTACTCTAGGCGGCCACGAGCTCCCCCCGCACGGCCGCGGCGCGCATCCAAATAGGGGCGCACAGTGGTGTGGTTCCGCCTGAATCGTCTACTCGGACGTGGCGCCCATGGGACCGCCACCAAAGAGCTTCAGCGCCATCAACGCATGGCGAAACGGCCTCCAACGGCAACGTCCGGAGCGAATAACGCACCACCGGAGGTACGCGATGATCTTTCGACAACATGCTCGCAATGCGGCGGTGTTCGAATTTCTAGAGGGATCTCACACCTTCGCCCCAACCCATCTTGCGTTCCACGCGCCAGCCAGCCCGCCACAAATGACGCAAGAGGGTCAGTGGTTCCAAAGACGCAGAACGTGCACATTGCAGCCATGAACTGGCCTAGAGGTGATACTCAAGCGAAGGCCAGACAGGTGCTCATGAAACGGCTTGGCATCCTCGACGAGGAAGGACTCAGCCACGACGATATGTTGCTACGCTACTTCAGCCTATTCAAGGGACCACTCACCGACGCCGTCGTGAAGGCTCTGACGGCCTTGTGTGGCCTCGACGCAGCAGCAGCGCTTTCCACTCCGCACGTTTAGATAGCTGCGGACTGCGATGAGTAACTCAATGTTGTAATGTTAGAAAACAATCACCGCTCCAGGAGTGTCACATCTAGAGTCCACCTTCGGTTTGGGAGCTTCCAGTCATGTTGCTTGGGTGGGGCGACAGCCAGAGGCCTACAGTCGCCTCCCCATTAGACTGGAAGGCTCCTCCAACTAGTATTTCATTGTAGCAGAAGCTCTGTATGCAAGAAAGTCTTGCTTTGTAACACTGGGACGACAGCCACTGGCATTCAGATGAATCGGCGACTCTAATTTGCTACGTTCATGACCATGCGTCTCAGGGTGTTTAACTTTGTTCTTCCTACCAGAACCACAGCCCAGGGTGGCTTGCTTCTTGCCTCCCTCCATAGTATGTTTAAACAGGGGTCCCTTGCTCTTTTTATGGCACAGCTGAATTGCCAAATAATTAACTGGAACGTCAGGGGCATGAATGACGGCGCCCGATAAGACTCGATGAGCGAGTTAGTGAAAAGCACTGGTGCCACCATTGTATGTCTACAAGAAACAAAGATGCAGGTTATGGATCATAATGTGGTGCGCCGCACAGTAGGAGCAAAATTTGTTAACTCCTATATTGTGCTCCCGGCGAAACAGACTCGAGGAGGCATTCTCCTTGCTGTGAATGAAGACTTTTTCGACCTCTCCGACATCAACTTACCTCGAACGCTATAACCGCGCAAATCAGCATGAGGGCGGATGGAATTAAGTGGCAAATTACAAATTACAGTGGTGTACGGCCCGCAAGGAGACGCAGCCAAACTTCAATTCCTCCAAGAATTGAAGAACATTCCTCCGTTGGAACACAATAGATGGCTCATCCTGGGAGATTTCAATCTCATCTACCAGGCAGAAGACAAGAACAACTCCAATCTAAATCGGCGCCTCATGGGGGCATTTAGGGTGACGATTGATCATTTGCGGCTCAAAGAAATCAAGCTAAATGGACGCCGCTTTACTTGGAGCAATCAACAGGCCAACCCGATGCTCACTAGAATTGATAGGCTACTATGTACCCCAAAGTGGGAATTGATCTTCCCTGCGTGCTTCTTGCATTCCCTGCCATCGCTCATGTCGGACCATACCCCACTACTACTGCAGGGAGAGCTTGACCACCATCAAAACATGTCCTTCCGCTTCGAAAATTTCTGGACTAAGGTGGAAGGCTTCCGAGACCTTATCCAAAACATTTGGAATAGGCCGGTCGCCTCTGCTCTTCCTATAAAACGCTTGCATATCAAAATGGCGCGTGTGACAAAAGGAATCAAGCGTTGGAAAAAAGATAAAATAAGGGATACGAAGCTGCAGCTCGCCATAGTGAAGGAAGTATTGCTACAGTTAGAAGCAGCCCAAGAGCATAGGTTGCTCACTCACATGGAGCTTGACCTATGTCGGCGCCTCAAAGCCCGTAGCACGGGGCTCGCAGCCATTGAAAAATCAAGAATCAGACAAAGATCGAGGCTCACATACATCCATTGTGGAGATGCTAACACCAAATTTTTCCACATTAGAGCCAGTGCACGTCGGAGAAAGAATTACATACATTGTCTGCATACGGATGGGGGGATTGCGGTTGCTCATGAAGAAAAAGAAAAGGTGATACGAGATTATTTTAAAAATCACATTGGCTCCGTGGTTCTGAGAACTTCGACAATCAATTGGCAATCCCTTAGCTACACTCAACATGATCTTTCCAACTTGGAGGTGCCTTTCTCCAATGATGAGGTTAAAAATACTATAAATTACATGCCTTCCGACAAAGCGCCAGGCCCGGA